TGGCTCATAACCCCTGTAACTCCAGCTCCAAGGGATTCAATTCCCTCTTCTGACCTCAATGGATATCCCCACACACATGCCATTCACTCACAGACACAGATGTACACATGAATAAATATTTTTTAATTAAAGAATATATTCAGTTATCATCTTGAGTCTATTTAAAGTATCTGTGTATGGGACAAGAGATATCATGCAGCAGTTAAGAGCATGAGCTGCACTTGCAGAGGATTTGGGTTGGATTTCTAGCATCCACATGGTAGCTAACAACCACATGCAATTCCAGTTCCAGGGGTTCCAACGTCAATGCCATCTTCTGACCTTGGTGAACAATGCACAACACAGGTGCAATAACATTTTGAGTGTTCTGCCTGCATGTATGTTAAGTGCACCACACACATGAAATGAAGCCAAAGCTCTAAGAATAAGGTCAAGCTTTCTGACCTCCAGACCCCTCAATCCACACAGCTCTGATGCTTAAGAGTGTTTTCAGGGGGGCTGGAGAGATGGCTCAGAGGTTAAGAACACTGGCTGTTCTTGCAGAAGACCCAGGTTTGAATCCCAGCACCCACATGGCAGCTAACAACTGTAACTCCAGTTCCAGGGGATCCGACAGCCTCTTCTGTCCTCTGTAGGCATTGCACAACACGGGTGCACTTACCTACATGCAGGCAATACACACACACACATAAAATAAAATCAAAAAAATATTAATTTTTTTTTAAAGTGTTTTGAAAAAGAGTGTTTTCAGGGACAGTGGATCAAAATCAGAGCTTCATGTGTTAGGTAAGTGTTCTACCACTAAACTGTACCCCCAGTTCTTCATCTGTATTCCCACAGGCTCATCAGCTACTCAACTTTGTGCTTTCTCTAGATAAATATGCGCAGATAAAATTCTGTTTTCCCAGTAAAACTCCCCTGGTTGCCGGGCATGGTGGCAGCACTTGGGAGGCAGAGGCAGGCAGATCTCTGAGTTCAAGGCCAACCTGGCCTACATAGTGAGTTCTAGGACAGCTGGGGCTACAGGGAGACCCTGTCTCAAAAAGACCAAAAAAAGAAAAGAAAAAAAAAAAAAAAAAAAAACTCCCCTGGTAAATAAGCCTGTTACATGCGTCTCTCTGCCAAATACTACAAATATCCAGCTCGCTGTTTCAGTTCAAGATACTTCTGATCAAAATTAATCCATGGGGCTGGAGAGATGGCTCAGCAGTTAAGAGTACTAGATGTTCTTGCAGAAGACTCAGGTTCCATTCCCAGCACCCACATGGCAGCTAAGAATCATCCACTTCAGTTCCAGGGGATGTGATGCCCTCTTCTGACCTGCGAGGGCACTGCACAACACAGGCATTGCAGGTAATACACTCATATACATAAAATAAAAATAAATATTTTTTAAAAATTGATCCACGCAAAACATTCCCATGACCACTGGAACAAAAGTAACCAGGGCAGGTTTGGATATTCAGAGGGTCAAATCAAAATCTAGGCAAGCCAGGCATGGTGGCACACACCTTTAATCCCAGCACTATGTGTACCACCAGCCCAGCTTAGAATACTCACTCTTAAAACCCAGCTGTGGCTGGGCTTGGTGGTGCATGCCTAACGCTCAGAAGGCAAAAGCCAAGTGGATCTCTGTGAGTTCAAGGCCAGCCTGGTCTACATAGTGAGTTCCAGGACTGCTGGGACTACTGGGGGACTCTGACTAAAAAAGACCAAAAAAAAAAAAAAAAAAAAAAAAAATCAGCTCTGACCAGGCCTGGTGGCTCACACCTTGAGGCAGATCTCTGTGAGTTCAAGGTGGCAAATTTGGTCTATAGTACCAAGATCCAGGCCAGCTGGAGCTATATAGTGAGACCCTTGTCTAAAAAACAAAACAACAACAAAACCCAGTTGCCATACCGTGAGGAAACCTAACCAGCTAGGGAAAGGTCTACATGGAAAAAAACCTAGAACCCTGACCAGCCCCAGGTAAACTTCGTGCCAAAGGGCATCATGAACCCAAAACTATGAATGAGATATTTTGAACATGGAGCCTCAGGCCCCAGATAAGTCACTCTAGCTAATGCTATGAAAGCAGAAATGAGGTTATGAGTCTTGAATTCATAAGGGAAATCCTGGCTGTAAAATATTGAGCAAAACAGCTTAATGTTTTAAACCTTAAAACTTTGATTTTTTTTTTTTTTTTTTTTTTTTTTTTTTCCCACCTAGAAACGATTTTTTTAAATTGATTTAGAACTCACTATAGACCAGGCTGGCCTTGAACTCACAGAGCTCCACCTGCCTCTGCCTCCCAAGTGCTGGGACTACAGGTATGTGCCACCACACCCAGCCATTTTGATATTTTAAACACAATAAATAACCAGAGCACTCTGTGTATGTATATAGAAACACAGCAGATAAAAAGCAAACCAACAAAAAAACACCACTATAAAGTACAAATCTTCAAATATTTTTAGTCTCTTTCTAAGTCCCATCTCTAGGGAAAGATTATTATTGTAGCACAGAAGTCAGTGGATTATGGCCATGAGTCAAATGTGGGCTGCCACTTGCTTCTGTCTGGCCCATAGTTTCTGTACTTTCAAATGACCTGGGGGGCAGGGAGGGGGATTACTATTTCTTTTTTCAAATAGGGTCTTGTGTAGTCCAGACTAGCCTCAAACTCACTACTGTAGTCAAAGCTGGTCCTGAACATCTGATCCTTGGGCCTCCATCTCTCAAATGCTGGGGTTACAGGCAAGTGCAATCACACCCAGCTAAGAATAGTATTTCTTTCTTTTTTAGTTTTGAGTGTTTGCCTGCACATATTTAAGTACACCCATGTTGTCCAACGCCCATGAAGGTCAGAAGACAGCGCCAGAGCGATCACGCCCAGCTAAGAATAGTATTTCTTTAGTTTTATTTTATGAGTGTTTGCCTGCACATATTTAAGTACACCCATGTTGTCCAATGCCCATGAAGGTCAGAAGAGGGCGCCAGATTCCCTGAAGCTGGAGTAACAAACAGTTGTTAGCTACCATGTGGGTGCTGGGAATTGAATCCAGGTCTTCTACAAGAGCAGCCAGTGCTCTTAACTGCTGAGTCATCTCTCCAGCCCCCAAAATAGCATTTCTTGACATGAAAACTATATGGAATTTAAATTTCATGTTCATTACGTTTAAGTAAAGTTTTTTGTTATTATTATTTTTATTTTATGTGTATGAGTATATTGCCTGCATGTATGTGAGCGCACTCGTGTCAGCAATGCTGTGGATGTTAGAAGAGGGCTTCGGATTCCCCTGGAACGGGAGTTAAGGATGGTTCATAGCCGCCATATGGGTGCTGGGAATCAAACCCAGGACCTCTGCAAGAGCAGTCAGTGCTCTTAACTGCTGAGCCATCTAGCCAGACCCTTAAGTAAAGTTTTACTAGAACACAGTCATGTCCATTTATCTATACATTATCTACATCTATTGTCCTACTATACTGGCACATGGGAGAGTTTCAGCAGAAACAATATGGACCTACAAAGCCACCTGCCCTCAAAGGTTTTTCACACAAAAGCTTCCCATTTCAAAATCTCCATCACGTACACAAATCTCAGTCAGATCTCACTCCCTGGATTGCTTCTAAAAATAGGAAAGGTGAAGTTTGGGTTCTAAGTTTGGATTTTAGTTTGTTAATTTGGTTTTTTTGTGGGTTTCTTTAAAATTTGTTGTTTTTAGCAGAGCTGTTGTACAACTAGACTAATTCCTCAGCCGCAAAATATCAGTCAGTTCTCTTGTTCCACCTTTTACATGGATTCTGGAGACTGAACCCTTGATTACCAGGCTATGTGGCAAGTGGCCTTACCCACTGAGCCATCTAGGCAGTCCTAAAAACGTTATGGGGAAGACGTGCGGGTGCGTGTGCGCACGCGCCATAGTGCAACTGTGGAAGTCAGAGGATAACTTTGTGAAGTTGGTTCTCTCCTACCTTTACATGGATGGGTTCTGGGTATCAAACTGAGGTCTCAGGCTTGCCACCCAGAAGTCCCATAATACTGTTTCTTATGTGAGTAGATAGATACACTAGTAAAAATAAGCTGTCATTTTTTTTTTCTCAAAATATTTTTTTTTTTTTAATAGAGTGTTTTGCCTGCATATACATAAATGCATCTCCTGCATGCAAATCCTCAGAGACCAGAAGAGGGCATCAGATTCCCGGACTTGGTGTTACAGGCAGTTGTTAGCAGCCATGTGGGTTCCGTGAACTGAATCGAGGTCTTCTGTAAGACTAGTCAACGTGTGGACAGGGCATGGTGGCACATGCCTTTTGTCCCAGCATTCAGAAGACAGAGGGCAGGAGGATATCTGTGAGTTTGAGGCCAGCCTGATCTATAGAGTGAGTTCCAGGCCAGCTGGGGAGACAGGGTAGAGATTAAAAAAAAAAAAAAGAATAATGGGTGCACTTAACCACTGAGCCACCTCTCCAGTCCCAAAACTATCATATTTATTGGTACATTTATTTATATATTTTAAATTTTTTTCCAGTGCTGGGTTATTTACCCAAGGGCCTCATTCATACTAACAAATGCTATACATCAAAGCCACATAACCCAGCTATTTTTTAAACTCAAGGCACAAAGAAGTACTGAATTTGGGGGTTTATTTCATGGCTTAGGAAAGGTGACCTTTTCTTTCCTATAGCCCCAGCTAGCCTGGAACTCACTATGTAGACCAGGCTGACTTTGAACTCACAGAGATCCACCTGCCTCTGCCTCCCAAGTGCTGGGGCTAAAGGCTGGGTGCACCACCATGCCCAGCTTGGTGACCTTTTCTTCTATACATAATAGGCCCTGCCAACAAATCCCTAAATAATTCAGAGACCTTGCAGAGTAAGGCGTAAAGGCCTTTTTATCATGACAGCCTCAAAACTGGGAGCAACCCACTGCTGAAACTTATCAAAGCAAAAAACATCAAAACTAAAATGGAAGAAGGTGGGAACTTTTCTTCATTTCATTCATGTTTTCTATCTAGTCTTACCTTGATGATTTCTCCACTGGAGGCAATTAAATCTGTTGGAATGGTCACTCGAAATGAGCGCCCAACGACAGCTGTGCTATCAGGAATGCCAACCACAGTGGGAACAGCCTCATGGAAATCTGAGAGCACTGAATGCATGGACGCCTCCAGCTGGTTCTCCCAGTCCCTCACAGCCTCCGAGGGTTCACTGGGCCAGTGGGACTGAGCCAAAGCCACAGACAGCAGGAGAAGAAAGGTCCTTCCCCAGAGGGGGTATAGGAGCCAGAGGCCCACAGACATCCTCATCTCAGGCTAAAGTTTGCTCACACGGACAGTCTTGCCAAGGAAGCCAGTAGTAACGTGGTCCCGGAGTTGGGACCTCACCCTCTGTACACCTGCTCCATCCTACAGCACCAGGAGCCTGAAAAAAAGAAAGATGAATAGATTCAGACTTCAGCAATGCCCAAGTTTGGGGATCATAAACTTCCCAAGTGTTTAATCCTCAGTAGAAGCCTCTTACCCCTGTGCTTGTCAGCAACATGTAGCTACTTAGCACTGGAAACTGACAGATCCATTAAGTATAAAATAACATTGGATTATGGAAGTTTGTATGGAAATGGAATGTAGATCCAGAAATGGTAGCACATGCCTTTAATCCCAGCACCCAGGAGGCAGAGGCGGCAGATCTCTTGCGAGATTGAGGTCAGCCTAGGCCACTGTCTTGAAGGGAGAGAGTAGTTTTGAAAAGACAAAAAAGGAGGGGGGCTAGGGAGATGGTTCAGCGGTTAAGGACAGTGGCTGTTCTTATAGAGGTCCTGGGTTCAGTTTCTAACACCCACATGGCAGTTCACAACCAGCTGTAACTCCAGTTCCAGGGGATCTGACACCCTCTTCTGACCTCCTCAGGCACTGCATTCACATGGTGCACTTAACATACATGAAAGCACAACACTGATACAACACACAGAATAAAAATGAATAAATTAAAAAATTATTTTAAGCCAGGCATGGTAGGGCACACCTTTAGTCCCAGCACTCAGGAGGCAGAGGCAGGCAGATCTCTGTGAGTTCAAGGCCAGCCTGGTCTACATAGTGAGTTCCAGGACAGCTGGAGCTACAGGGAGACCCTGTCTCAAAAAGACTACCCTGTCCCAAAAAAAAAAAAAAGAAAAAAGAAAAAAAAAATTCTTATTACTGTTATTTATTTTTGAACTAAAATTCAATTGAAACCTCAAGAAAATGAAACTAAGTTGCCTAAGTTGCAAAGGCACCAGAACAAGTAATCATCTATGCAGAACAGCACAGAAAGTTCTCTCACCTCTCTATCACACACTTGATAAACTCCATTGGGTTACATAAGAAACAGACCTTCAAGCTGGGCATGGTGGCGCATGCCTTTAATCCCAGCACTCGGGAGGCAGAGGCAGGTGGATCTCTGTGAGTTCAAGGCCAGCCTGGTCTACATAGTGAGTTCCAGGAGAGCTGGGGCTACAGGGAGACCCCGTCTTAAAAAAAAAAAAGAAACAGACCCTCAAAACTTTTATAAGACAGTGAAATGTCAAAGAAAAGGATTTAATTTTAAAAGGCATTAGACAATATTACATAAAAAAGACAATTAATTGAATTTTGGGGAAGACTGAGTAGACATTACTTAAATCCTTCCCACAAAACGCAATTAAAAGCCCTAGGTATTTTATATGAAATAAATATAAGAGTCTAAAGAGTGCACAGAAGACACAGATCAATTAGGGAAACCAGTCTTGAAAGAACAACAGAGTGGTAGTTTCCAGAGTTTTTTTGTCTTGTATAGTTCCAATTTGGAGCTGAAGAAACAGTAATCCAGAAATTCCAGCCAATGAGACAATTAAAAGGCCCAACAGAAGTCTACTCTCTCTAATCAAAGACAAAGGGGTGACCCAGTAAGGAAAATTTTTTTTTTAATATTTTATGTATTATTTTTATTTTATGTGTATGCGTGTATTGCCTGCATGTAGGTATGTGCACCTCTGCAATGCCCGCAGAGGGCAGAAGAGGCTGTCAGATCCCCTGGAACTGGAGTTACAGATTAGTTGTCAGCTGCCATGTGGGCGCTGGGATTTGAACCCAGGTCTTCTGCAAGAACAGCCAGTGTTCTTGACCACTGAGTCATCTCTCCAGCCCAAGACAGCAAAGTTTTAAGGAGCAACAGCGCCACACTAGTCAAACACCACAGGAGAGAACTATGGCCCCATCCCTACTCATACACTCTCCAAGGCCACACTTCCACTTTCATAACAAGGTGCCCCAGACAGCCTAACTGGGATAGTATCAGAGAAGATCACACAGATGGGTGGGATTTTTATCTCTTCTTATCAATAACAGTGTGACAACCCTCTTCCTGTAGTCCAGGTTAGTGAAAACTAGGGGAGCCAGGATTTCCAGGCCTATCTAGAAGTAATACCTCTCCCATTCCATGCTGGTGGTATCAGAAGTTTCAACACTGCCTAGGGTTAATAAGGATTCTTCCAATTGCCAACAAAGGCTAAGTAGGGAACCTATTTCTACCTCCCTAGACACAGGGAACAACACCTGCTGTGGCCTTCCCATACCATAGCAGTGTCACAAAGGTCAGCTAAAATACAATGAAGAGTTTCAAACAAAATACAACAATGGGGCCTGAAAAGTAGCTCAGTAGGTAAAGACACTTGCTGCCTAACTGCAAGCCTGATAACCTAAGAGAACTGAGACTCATAACTTGTCTTAACCTCAACAGATATGCTGTGGCATGTGTGCCCCCGCCCCCACACATTTTTATTTATTTTATGTGTGCGAGTGTATTGCTTGCATGTATGTAAGTGCACCAGTGTCATTCAATGCCCTCAAGAGATGAAGAAGAGAATGTCAAATTCCCAGGAACTGGAGTTACAGACAATTGTTAGCAACCATGTGGGTGCTGGGAGTCAAAATCAGATCCTCTGCAAGAGCAGCCAGTACTCTTAACTGCTGAGCCAACTCTCCAGCCCCAATGATCAAATTTTTTAAAAAGTCTTGACAAAGTGAGATTATCTAAATCAACTGTCAAAAGGAAATTGTGCTCACAGAGAGGGTAAAAGGGATGTGAGAACTGAGGCAAAGATCAGAACAATGTGGCCACAAACCAAGCAGTGTCAAAGGATGCTGGCAGCCACCAGATGCTAGAGGAGAAAAGGAATGGAGTCTCCTCCACAGTCTTCAGAGGGAGCTCAGCCTTTGCCAACTCCTTGATTTTAGACTTCTGGTCTCCAAAACTGAGAAAAATAAATGTGTGTTTAAGCCACTAAAGGTATGGTAATCTTTCTACAACAGGCCGAGGAAGTAAATACAGGGTTTAATGCAACTCATTAAAATTCTAGCCTTTTGGCCAGGCGTGGTGGCACACACCTTTAATCCCAGCAGAAGCAGGTGGATCTCTGTGAGTCAAGGCCAGCCTGGTCTACATAGTGAGTTCCAGGACAGCTGGGGCTACAGAGAGACCCTGTCTCAAAAAAGACAAAAAAAAAAAAAAAAAAAAAAAAAAAAAAAAAAAAAAAATCCAGCCTTTTGTGGACATAGTTAAACGTATTCTAAAATTTATATAGAAAAAAAGCAGTGGAGCTGGAGTAGTCAGAGGTGGTCTTTCTGAGACAGGGTCTCACTACTTAGCTCTGGCTGGCCTGAAATGCACAGAGATCTACCGGCTCTGCCTCTTAAGTGCTGGAATTAAAGGTGTGTACCACCACATCCAGCATAAGTTTTTATTTGTCTTTCTCCATTTTGGTGCTAGGACTTGAACACTGAGTTTGTACATACTAGGCATATGTACCACTGGCCCACATGTGTTAGAACTACAGGCCTGAACTACCACCCCAACTTTTCTTCAATAGATCATAAAAATATGGAAGAACATGTAGTATGACAATGCTGGATGGCAGATACTCAGGTATATGTGGTATTAGTCTGTTTTCTGCTGGGTGTTTGAAACAGGAGGCAGTCAGCTGAATCATGTGATACAAAATATATCTTCAGCTGGATGTGCTGCCACATACCAGGCATGGTGGTGGCACACCTATAGTCCAGAACTCAGGAGGCAGAGGCAGGCAGATCTCTGTGAGTTCGAGGCCAGCCTGGTCTACACAGTGAGGTCCAGGCTGAAAATGTCCCCCATAGGCTCCAAGTGTTTGGACATTTTGTCCCCAGATGATGGTGCTGTTTTGGGAGGTTTTAGAAGGTGTGGCTATCCTGGAGGAAGCATGTCACTGGGGGTGGGCTTAGAGAGTTCTTAAGTCTTGCCAGATCTCTGATCAGTCTTGTGATGATATAAGAGCTTAGCTTCTGCTGCTCCTGCTCCAGCCACCTCCAGCCACCATGCCTCCCTGCCATGATAGACTGTAATTCCCCTGGAACAGTAAGCTCAAATAAACTCTTCCTTCTATAAATTGCTTGGGTGTTTCTATCACAGCAACAGAAACGTGACTAATACACAGGCCATCTGGGGCTAGAGAGACGCTGTCTCCAAAAGACCAAAAAAAAACCCAGTGAGATGGCCTCAGCAGGTAAAAGCTCTTGCCATCAAGCCTAATGGACCTGTTTGATTCCCAGGACCTACATTACATGGTGGAAGGAAAGGAATGATTCCCACAAGTTGTCCTAAGTAATATACACACACACACACACACACACACACACACACACACACATTTGGTCTTATTGAGATGAGTTCCCCCTATAGCCCCAGCTGGCCCGGAACTTGCTATGTAGACCAGGCTGGTCTTGTTAGGGAGGGGGAGAGGGGCCAGGCATGGTGGCGCACGCCTTGAATCCCAGCACTCAGGATTCAATTTTAAGTTCTCAGCTTATTTGAAAACAGCATTAATTATGAGACACACCCTATCCTACCAAAAGCATAAGCTCAGTCTACTATCTCTGGACATATGATGACACATGGAGTGTCTTATTTCACAGGCATGACTAAATGCTCTGCATTTAGCAGTCAGGCAATGTCCAGGGCACAATTCCAACTACTATGTGTGAGTTTTCCATGCTCTAGGGAGAAAAGAGCCTGAATCTTTCTGATGCTGGCTTTCTATAAGCAAGGAACATGCCTTCCTGTGCTAGGAATCTCATAGATGATATCCACACGTCTATAGTATAATGTCCCTCTATCCTAATTTTCAATTTTTAAACATTTATTTATTTGGGGTTGGGTAGGAGAGGGCCACATCATGCATATGGAGGTCATTTCTCTCCTTCCACCATATGGGTTAGATCATCAGGCTTAGCACTGAGTGCCTTTGCCAGCTGAGCTATCCCATTGGCCCTGGAAAAATTTTTGATACAAATTCTCATATGCTTATTCTTGGTCAGTGCAGAGGTCCTCTCCCTCCTTTCAGGGATCAAGACCCAAAGAGTGGTAAATATTCAACC